TTATAATTCGTTCATATGTATATCTGATTATTTTCAAGAAAAAACTTCATGTGGATGTCAGTTATTTCAACCAGTAAATATAAAATTTATGTTTATAAAGTGTACAAAAGGGTGTAAATCATAAGTTGTTAATAATAACCATTCACATTTTTTTTCATACAATAACAATTTTGTATTTGTTTGGTTTGAAATTAAAAGTTTACACACTCCAAAAGTTTACATGTTTAATAATTTAATTCTTTTTTACAATGAACATGTAAAATATATAAATGTTTCATTTCATATTAATTATCATAATAAATTCATTAATAAGCAACTGAAAAACATGTTATTATTTTACAATTCAATAACAGTTGTGATGTCATTTTTTAATTGTGTTATGTATGTGTGTGGTCAGGCATAATAAATTAAAAGGATAATATATATTAAATAACGTTATTTATATGTTATTGCCAACAATGAGTTGTTGGAAAATAATAGTTATAATGTAGTTACACGACGAAAATGGTCACACATTTGTTTAGAATATAAAAGATATATTCAATTATCAAAAATATGTCGATTACAATTATTATCTATGGTTTATGTTTACATTAAAATTACATTTTAACATGATTGTTAATTATTTATTTATCATTCAATGTCTTGTCACATTGGTAACTCTGTGTGTGATTATCAAAAAATTCATTTTTAATATGAAATACAATTGTTTAAATATGAATATTTTAAAAGAAATACAATTAATTTTTGTTTACCAAATAATTTTTTTGTAATCACTTTATTTAATGTAAAAAATAATTAATTATTTTTTTATATTTATAATTATTTGACACGCATTTCAAACCTTTTGTATCCAGTTCTTGATTATTTTACGTATGTTTTTGACTTTAAATAAATATTGTCAGCCCAAGCATTTTGATGAATCTTCAAGGTCACCTTAACAACACCTTAATATCTATGTATTTTTTCCTGCTTTTTTACTTCAATAGAGAAAAAGTATAAACTTTTACATATAAATTTCTGTGGTTTTAAGCTCAATTACATATTTTAAATACTTTTATTAAAATTAAAAAATATTTTATTTACAGTATGTGAGAATAGTATGTGAGAATGAGAAAACCCTGTGGATTCAACAAAAGTTACAATTGTGTAACTTTTATGTAATAAAATTATTATTTTTTATTTCAAAAAATTCAAAAAGATCAAAAAAATCGCTTATTTACAGTTCATTTTCTCTTTCAATTTGTTTGAAAACCCACAAAGCAGCTTTCAGAGTGTGAACAGCCAGCACTTATCAACTAATTGACTCAGACCTCACGCCAAAGAATCCCAGGAATACTGGACATATCAACCATAGCAACTAGACGATTCAAAGCAGGCAACGTTGAATTCAAGAGTCTTTACGAGCAAGTTCTACAAGTTATTATCTTCATAACATAAGAACGTTTAACAAACGAATCTCTTCTATTAGAAGGACTTATGACAGTTCAAACATGTATTGATCCAACCAGTGACCATTTTGACCCCGTGATAGGAAACAGTAATGTAAACTCGGCGATACAACTGATTAAAAAGATAAAAATCAATCGATTAAATTCTCAACCCCATTTTTAGTTCTTTTTGAGATTTTTTTGGTCGTCTTTTTCTTCACAACTTTACATACAACATCCCGTTCTTTTCTTTTTAACGGCTTGCAAACAGACTGACACGAATAACCCTCAAAACACCTTGGAAGCTTTCGAACTGCAGATATTTTCAAGCTTTTGGTTTTGACGCATTCAATCGAGTATAACTGTGGTATACTTAACAGTCTCGGTATTTATGCTGTGACTCTGCGTGACACTCCAATATCCACATACGCAACCCTCATACCACCATCAACATTTCTGAAATCAATACCAACTTGCCTAAAAGCCTGCGTGCACACATCCGGAGTAGTTGTTTGGAA